CCCCAAAACCCCAAAACCCCAAAACCCCAAAACCCCAAAACCCCAAAACCCCAAAACCCCGTATCAACTAGTCTTTATTGCTTTATCTCGATAATTTTATAGAAAATATGGAACAAGCTTCTCGAGAATTTGCTGATTGCTTCTCTGACTCTCCTGCTTCTGTGTATTCCAAGTACGAAGCAGTAGCTCCTCAGGTTCATTTCCAGATTAGTAGTATGCAGACAAAGGACATTGAAAGCAAGACCAACCAGGTTGTGAGGTATATAGCTTGCTAGACTTAGGTTGTAGCACGTCGATAAATTTCGAGAGGGTGTGCTGTATCTTCAGAACTCATTCTCAAACCTATGTTTCGTCTAACTCTTATCTCTAATATTCATATCTTAGTAAGGAAAATTAACAGGCAGGGAAATAAGTCACATAAGCTTGACAAAAAGTGAGTATTTCTAGTAAATTTATCTCTGATTCACTCAAATCCTGACATTTGTATAGGAAAATCCCTTATAAGAAGATCATCGAAGGACTAGCAATCAAGAGGCTCTCCAATAATAGGCTCAAATAACAAATTTCAGAACTCAGGATTTGTGAAGACCCGAAGTGTTGAAAATTTAAAACAGAAGTATAAGAAGAGTACTTTTCGGCTGACCTTCTAGGTGCGAAATCCACTGAGGATAACTCTTATAAGGACTCGTATGGCCAGCAGGCGAATCAGAGACTCAATTTCTTCAAGTTCTCCTCTCCTCTGTAACTACATTGGTCTGATTTAATCTAGAGAATTAAGAAACAAACCTGATCAGGGAATTCAGAGAGCAAGCTCACATAATAGAGTGGTGAATAAGTTTATGTATAGCAGAAATGGCCTGCTTTCCAAGAGTAACCACCCTTCTTGATTTCTAGACCAGAAGAACCAACATTCCCAGATTAGCAGTCGAGAAAGGAGGTTGAAGCATCAAAGTCAGGATATGAGGTTCAGGCCAAGAATCAAAAATGAAGTCCTGAAGGGAATTAAGCTCAAGAAGCATTCTTATCATGACAAATTTAACAGATGTGGGCAATATCAGAATGCGGAGAGTGGTGAGCTCCAGACAATCCACCTTTCTGAAATGTACGATGACTACGACCCGTAATTTATGGCATAACCTTCAGTAGATCTGAGAATTCACCGATGAGAAATGAACATATTAGAAAACTTTACCTTGAGAAAATAGATAAAGCGCAAGAATTCCGGAAATTCAGAGATATGGAGTATGCTAGGAGAGGTTTTAAAGGTCATTATGTACATGAGCATTCCAAAAGTTTGTACTTTGATAAACCCCTGGATCGCAAGAAAGAGGCTAATTTCCAGTCCTTGAAAGTCACTAAGACAGACAAACCTCTGTTCTCCCAGCCTGTAAGAGAAAAGATGGCTATTGGTAAGTCTTTTTAAAGTGTTGGCCTTGCAAGCACAATTGTTTGATTTGTCAGAACATCTGGATTCTAATCTTCTAGGCCATAAGCGAATGCTATCAGATTCATTATCACATCGTAAGGTTTTTCTACGACCAAAAATAGAGAGAAATTCTAGGCCTAATAAGATCTTTGATACATTTGAGAGATTGAAGAAGACAAAAGAGATGCGTGTGATTGTCTAGACAAAAAATTACTCTATTCAGGCCAAAACGAGCCTTATTGGCGTATTTTGCTCTTTTCAATATACCTATTTAAACTAGGGGTTTTGGGGTTTTGGGGTTTTGGGGTTTTGGGGTTTTGGGGTTTTGGGG